TGTGCAGCAAAGGAAACTATCAGACAAATTGAAAAGGCAGCCTACTGATTGGGAGAAGATATTTGCAAATAATATATCCAATAAGCAGTTAATCTCCAAAATATGTAAAGAACTCAACACCAAAAAGCCCCCCAAACAATCCCATTAAATAATGGGCAGAGGATCCAAATAAACATTTCTCCAAAAATGACATACAGATGGCCCGCAATGCATGGGAAGATGCTCGATGGTAGGAATCATTAGGGAAATGCAAAAAAAAAAAAAAAAAAAACAAGGAGGTTATCACTTCACACCTGTCAATGTCTAGACTCAAAATGACAAGAAATAACAAGTGTTGGTGAAGATATGTAGAAAAAGAAACCCTCGTGCACTGCTGGTGGGAATGTAATTTTATGTAGCCACTATGGAATATGGTATGCAGGTTCCCCAAAAAAATCAAAAATAGAAATCCCATATGATCTAGCACTTCACTACTGGCTAACTACCCAAAGAAAACAAACACTCCTTTGAAAAGATATATGTACCTCTATGTTTATTGCAGCATTTTTAACAATAGCCAAGATACAGAAGCAACCAAGTGTCCATCAGTAGATGCATGGGCTGTGTGTGTGTGTGTGTGTGTAATGGACTATTATTCAACCATTAAAAAAACGAGATATTGCCATTTGATACCATATGGATGGATCTAAAGAGTATTATGCTAAGTGAAATAAGTCAGAAAGTCAAACACCATATGATTTCACTTATTTGTGGAACCTAAAAAATGAAACAAAAGCAGAAACAGACCCATAAATACAGAGAACAAACTAATGGTAGCTAGGGAGATAAGGGATGGCAAAATGGTTGAAGGAAAGGAGAAGATACAGGCTTCCAGTTATGGAATGACTGTCACAGGAATGAAAGGTACAGCTTACAGAATACAGTTCATGAATTTAAAATAGGTTTGTATGGTGGCAGGTGATAGCTATACTTTAGTGAAATGGCAACCTTCAGAATGGGAGAAGATAATTGCAAAGGCCCTAGCTGATAAACTGTATCTGGAATCTAAAGAATTTAATAAACTCAACATCCCCCCCCCAATAATCCAGTTAAAAAATGGGAAGACATGAGTAGACTTTTTCCCAAAGATTACATACAGATGGCCAACAGATGCATGAAAAGGTGCTTAACCTCACCCATTGTGAGGGAAACACAAAATCATGATGAGCTACTACCTCACACCTGTCAGAATTGTTAAAATTTATACCACAGGAAACAACAGATGTTGGCAAGTATGCCAAGAAAGGGGAACCCTCTTACTCTGTTGGTGGGAATGGAAACCAGTGCAGGTGCTCTAGAAAACAGTATGGCGGTTCCTCAGAAACTTAAAAATAGCACTACTCTATGATCCAACACTGCTAGATATTTATCAAAGAATACAAGAATACTGATTCATAGGGGCACATGTACCCTAATGTTTATAGCAGCATTATCAACAATAGTCAAATTATGGAAAGAGTCCAAATGTCCATTGGCTGATGAATGGATAAAGAAGAGGTTGTATATATATATATATATATACACAATGGAATATTACTTCACCATCAAAAACAATGAAATCTTGCCATTTGAATGATGTGGGTAGAGCTAGAGGGTATTATGCTAATAAGCAAAATAAGTCAAAGAAATACCATACAGTTTCACTCATTTGTGCAATTTAAGGAACAAGACAGATAAACATAGGGGAAAGAAAAAAAGGCAAACCATAAAATAGACTCTTAACTATAGAGGAGAAATGAGGGGTTGCTGTAGGGGAAGTGGGAGGGGATGGACTAAATGGGTCATGGGCTTTAAGGAGGGCACTTGTGATGAGCACTGGGTGTTACATGTATATAATGAATCAAATTCTTCTGAAACTAATATTACACCAAATGTTAAGTAGAATTTTAATAAAAACTTGAAACAAAAGTAAGCTAGCATAGGAGTTGTTGAATCACAGTGTTGTACACCTGAAACAAATATAACATTGTATGTGAACTATATTTTGATTTAAGAAATCCATCAAAAAATAAAGTGAATTATGGATATACATCTTCATTTAATTAGAATTTACTTATAACTTATAAATAACTTATAAACCTGCCCCCAAACCTTAAAAATCAAAGATTGATTTTGGTGGAGCTTAATTTTTCTAACATTTTCTGTTACCATGAAATACTTCTTACTCAAATTTTCAGAATGACTATAAAGTCTGCATAATTACGGTTTTAAAACTAGTCAAGTTTTCTGATTTGCTTTAACACTTGATATTCAAATCATTTTCTCTTGAAACATCTGTTGTGTCATTCTTTTTGCTTGTTTTATTAACTGGCCCCTCCTCCAGAATGCACACTTTTTAATGGCTTTGTTATTTGAGCAAATCTCCAAGAATATTTTCCTTGACTTCATTAAATTTAACATCTTCATGAAATTTGACATTTTACTTTACATTGATTGTTCGGGTTAAGCTAAGCCAGTCAAGTATGACATTGTCTGAATGAGGCAGATAAGAATCCTAGTAACAGAGGTGTCTGGGTAGCTCAATCAGCTAAGAGTCTGCTTTCAGCTCAGCTCATGATCCTGGGGTCCTGGGATTGAGCCCTATGTGAGTCTTCCTGCTTAGCAGGAAGTCTGCTTCTCCCTCTCCCTCTTCCTTTCCTCCTCCCTGACCCTCATCCTCGCTCTTGCACACACACTCTCAAATAGATAAATAAAATCTCAAAAAAAAAAAAAAAAATACTAGTAACAAACAAGGAAAAGGGCTGTTTGAGTAGTCACTAATTTTGTTCATTTGTGACTTTTAATTTTTTTGCTTCCCTACTTAACCTCTTGGAAGATTTGAGTAATATTCAGCAAAAAGAATTCCTTATACTTTTAATTATACTTGATCCTGTAGATCCAAAAGACTCCAAGATAATGGAAGTCAACTTTCTTCCAGAAAAATAACAAAGGTGTGAATGGCTTATGTGTTATTGAGCTATCTAGAATTTGCCTGTGTTAATAATTAGAAAGAAAGTGAAAAGTATATATTAGTTTGGAAGCCTTTATCTCTGAGCCAGAGGTAGAGAATGATCTGTGAACCATGGTGTTAGAACGAAATCAGTCTTTTTATCCCAAAAAGAACTTGAGCCCTAGCCTCACCCTTTCTTAATTCCACCTAAAGACATTAACCAGCCACTTGGCTTGTCAGCAAAAACATAAAATGTTACAACTTCTAATAAAGTAATGATCAACTAGACATGACATATCTACATAATTGAGGAAAGTCCTTTCTACTTTGTGTTCTAAAGATTTGTACTGGTCCTGGGATACTTGAATATAAAGGGTAAAAAATCCAAATTTAAAGTTGGTTCATCCATAAACCAAAACCCATTATGTCATGATATTTTCTTAATCCATTCAGAACTTTCCAAATGCACTAGTTGCTATTGTTTTGCTTCCATGCTTGTTCATCAATTCCTGTCTGCACATGCAACAGCCCCATATCTCTCGTTTTCAGCTTGCTATATCAGCCTCGGGATTTTGTAAACAACAGAACAAATGGAAACTAACGCCTGCTAGGAAATCAAGGCTTTAAGGCTGTGGCAGAAGTGGAAATAAGTCCTTCTCAAATGTCCGAGTTCTTGTGTGCTAGTCTGGTCTCTGTCCTAATTAGATTACAAGTGAAGCTGTTCCCATTTCATGAGAAATGTGCCTCCTCACTGACAGGAGTCCTCTTCTCCCTTCGGATACAGGGTGAAAGGGGTTGGGTCTTGGCCTGTTTCCATCAGGCCTCAAGAAGGAGGAACAGGATAAAATAACATCCCTTGTTTAAGTTCAGGAATTGAATACTATTATATGAAAAGTTCTCTAAGAAAAATCTGTTTAAATCATTTCAAGTTAGAGAATTACTACAATTCTTGAGCATGCCTTCAGTTAATGTCCCCAGTCATATTTATTCAAGGATTTTAAATGTATTACTCATTGCAAATTTAATAGTTATGGTTCTTACCTTTAAGTAATTGCTATAACAATGAACACTTAAAACCTTTATAACACCTAAAAAAAGGCTTAATAATCCAAGAATCTATGCAAAGTATTTTTAAAATCTTTAATTAAGACATTTCTGTTAACTAAATTGTTTTAAAGTAAAAATGTACAAAGAAATAAAAACTTACAATATGTTGTCAAAAAGCAGACCTATCTGATTTGATTTAATTATGTGTAATAAACGTTTGGACACCTGAATGTTTTAGGCAAATAAATACAGAAGCAGCTTTAACAATACCTAAAGCACTATCCCAGGTCTGGCTTCTCTGCGGAATTGTTCATACTGATTATTTACTTACTGCGCCCGCCTAAAACTAACTGCTATCTAATATTTTTAAATACTAATTTTTACTAACTTAACACATATTTTAAAATCCTAACCAACATGATAGAAGAAAAGCATTCCCCTGAAATAAAAAAAAAAAATATGCAATTCACATCCTTACTATGCCACTTCAAAGCTATTAATTGTAACCATGTCATTGAACTCTTCTGTCCCAAATTTCCTTTGTTCTAAATGGAAGAGTTTGTAATGTGGAGTCATTAGCATCACAATCTAGGATGTTTCCACGTCTGAGTAGGTGGGACCTAAAATTATTTGTTAACCAAGGGTGCAAACACAAAGCATTTGTAAGTCCCAGCATTTTACACTGATGCAATATCTGTAGAGTAGACTTAAAATCAAGTTTGCCAAAAAGCACATATTAGGAGTAGGTCTTCTTCAGGGTCTTTCCACAGTAAGAGGTGATCGTCTGGACAAGGAGTCTGAGAATACTCAGCCACTCATTTCATATCATGTTGCTCTTTGGTATTTCAGAGAGCTGATGTATTTGATTAAAGGTATCAGTAGCTTCTCACAAAAGAGTAAGTGAATTAAGTCAACAATTTAATGGTCATATTCAAAGTACCGGAACAAAGATTGTTCATGTTAATTTTGTGATTATTTTTTCTAGGACCGACGGATCTCAGCATGAAGAGGCAGTTGGCAACTAGCTCAGGATCCTCCAGCAGTTCAAGCTCCAGACCCCAGCTGAGTCCAACTGAAATCAATGCTGTGAGACAGCTCGTTGCAGGATACCGAGAATCAGCTGCATTTTTATTGCGTTCTGCAGATGAACTGGAAAATCTTATTTTACAACAGAACTGAGTCAAATGACGATCCTATTCACTGAGGTCTAAATTTGCAGTTTCCACTAATGACATTTTGATTTCCCAGCAGAGACGCTTCTGGTCTTACTGCACAGTCTTAAGAGAAATACTTCCATTATGCCACATTGTCCTTGATCCATAAAGTGATGTGTTAAGGTGTTTCAAAGGAACTCTGACCTCTGAAGTACTTGAGATACTGTAATGTGTCGGGCCTACTGCTTTATGTTTTAGTTTCTCAGCATAAATATCTGGGACCAAAAAAAAAAAAAAACAACAACAACAAAAAAACCCCAAAACAAAAAAAAAAAAAAAAAAACAACGCTGTATATTCTTAATTCAAGGATAAAACAGAAGAAGTTTGTGGTATAAAAAATAGTTCAAGATCCAACTGAAATATTAGTGGAATTTGCTACTGACTTACTGGACAGAAAGCTACAGTATCTGGCAAAAAAAAAAAAAAAAAACAAATTTCTTGTTGCTACAGGATATAACAACATTGAGAAGGATCTTGTATTTTAAAAAAAATATATATGTAATTTTTATAAAAAGACAAAAACTTGTTTTTCATTCAAAATTGTCATTTTTACTTTGATAACTTTTTCATAGGTCCTAAAAGAAAACTGTTTTGAGAAACTACTGTAAGTACCTTTTCCACAATCCCTTTGCCTTCTCCTCTTTCCAAATTCTTTCTACAAAAAATAACAATGCTGGAAAACAAACCCTTGCTACGTTCTTTAAATCGTCACATCAGGAACTACTTCCACGAGAAGCCTGCGTTTCTGCACTCGCGCTCGTCATGCCTCTCAACATCGCAGTTTGGCAATAGAGGTTTTCATCACAGAATGTTTTAATATTAAAGACATATCATTGAAAGACACATCACACCTTGGTTCCTTACAGCTGCTCACCGTGGAATGACACTGCTGTGTTTCGGGCACGCCTCCAGCAGCAGTTGGACGTAGATGGCTGAATGTTAAGAGGTTGCAAGTGACAATCTGAAAATTTGCACTTGTGTGTAGTTTTTCTTTCTCTCTTTCAGAAATAGTTTCCAAAAAGACCATTACCTCTCCTGATAGGATTTGTATAATTTGCAGTTCTAGGTAACAGTGATGTAAAGAACTCTCAGTGGACGCAGCTGCAGCTTTTCCATGAACTTCCCCTTCCTCTCCCCTGACCGTTTGCCCTTTATTTTATAGTGTTGGATACACATGAATGGTGTTTTCTTTGTGCACTGAGGCAAGCCTATTTTTTAAATATTTAGGGAGAAGTACATCAGTTTATGCTTCTTGTACAATTATCTTTCTGTTGTTCAGCTTTGGTTGGATTACAAATTCTTTGTGCATTCCTGAATTTGCCTTATTTTATGTATAACTTATGTCATTCAGTTTTTGATAATGAGTTTAAGGCATCAGTGATATTTCTTATGTACTTGTTACATATAGTTTTTCAAGTAATGACTGTGATTGTGACCAAGTAATGTGCACTTTTTCTTGTAACTGTGGACATTGCTGTGCTTTTTCTTCTAGTGTTTCTAGAATTACTGTTCCTGACAGTTACGTAAAACAAACAAAAAAACACAAAAAAAGAACTTTTGTGATACTGTTAGTGAATATAATGTGAAAAACTTATTGAAATATGAGTATTTTGGAAATACATAGATGCACAAACATCTTTTAAGGTGTGGATTTAGAGTTTGCTTATTTAAATGAAAATTCAAAAAAATCGAGGGCTGGTATAATTTTATCTGTTTTGTTTGGTTTAATAAACAGATTTCTGTGTAAAAATAATGATTGTGAAAACTTCCAAACTTTCTGAAGGATACAATGCTTTTAGCAGTTGGCTTTGAAAATATGCAATGCCATTTTGTACCCAGCATTTAGTATGAGAAGGACGGTTAACCTTTTATCTGAGGATTATCCCAAGATCCCCTAGAGTCTCAACATTGTCTAATAAAGAATTTTTCCAAGACAGGGTAAGGGAAATTAGCAAACCAAGGATATTTCGTTTGATTATTTAAATCTGATTTAAGAATTTTTTAATTTTTAATTTATTTTTTATAAACATATTTTTATCCCCAGGGGTACAGGTCTGTGAATCGCCAGGTTTACACACTTCAGCACTCACCATAGCACATACCCTCCCCAGTGTCCATAACCCCAACCCCCCTCCCCCCAGCAACCCTCAGTTTGTTTTGTGAGATTAAGAGTCACTTATGGTTTGTCTCCCTCCCAATCCCATCTTGTTTCATTAAATCTCTTCCTACCCCCTTAAACCCCCATGTTGCACCTCCACTCCCTCATATCAGGGAGATCATATGGTAGTTGTCTTTCTCCGATTGACTTATTTCGCTAAGCATGATACCCTCTAGTTCCATCCACATCGTCGCAAATAGCAAGATTTCATTTCTTTTGATGGCTGCATAGTATTCCATTGTGTATATATACCACATCTTCTTTATCCATTCGTCTGTTGATGGACATCTAGGTTCTTTCCATAGTTTGGCTATTATAGACATTGCTGCTATAAACATTTGGGTGCACGTGCCCCTTCAGATCACTACGTTTGTATCTTTAGGATAAATACCCAGTAGTGCAATTGCTAGGTCATAGGGTAGCTCTATTTTCAACATTTTGAGGAACCTCCATGCTGTTTTCCAGAGTGGCTGCACCAGCTTGCATTCCCACCAACAGTGTAGGAGGGTTCCCCTTTCTCCGCATCCTCACATCTGTCATTTCCTGACTTGTTAATTTTAGCCATTCTGACTGGTGTGAGGTGGTATCTCATTGTGGTTTTGATTTGTATTTCCCTGATGCCGAGTGATGTGGAGCACTTTTTCATGTGTCTGTTGGCCATCTGGATGTCTTCTTTGCAGAAATGTCTGTTCGTGTCCTCTTCCCATTTCTTGATTGGATTATTTCTTCTTTGGGTGTTGAGTTTGCTAAGTTCTTTATAGATTTTGGACACTAGCCATTTATCTGATATGTCGTTTGCAAATATCTTCTCCCATTCTGTCAGTTGTCTTTTGGTTTTGTTAACTGTTTCCTTTGCTGTGCAAAAGCTTTTGATCTTGATGAAATCCCAATAGTTCATTTTTGCCCTTGCTTCCCTTGCCTTTGGCGATGTTCCTAGGAAGATGTTGCTGCGGCTGAGGTCGAAGAGGTTGCTGCCTGTGTTCTCCTCAAGGATTTTGATGGATTCCTTTCTCACATTGAGATCCTTCATCCATTTTGAGTCTATTTTCGTGTGTGGTGTAAGGAAATGATCCAATTTCATTTTTCTGCATGTGGCTGTCCAATTTTCCCAACACCATTTATTGAAGAGGCTGTCTTTTTTCCATTGGACATTCTTTCCTGCTTTGTCGAAGGTTAGTTGACCATAGAGTTGAGGGTCTATTTCTGGGCTCTCTATTCTGTTCCATTGATCTATGTGTCTGTTTTTGTGCCAGTACCATGCTGTGTTGATGATGACAGCTTTGTAATAGAGCTTGAAGTCCGGAATTGTGATGCCACCAACCTTGGCTTTCTTTTTGATATGATACTATATGTGGAAAACCCAAAAGACTCCACTCCAAAACTGCTAGAACTTGTACAGGAATTCAGTAAAGTGTCAGGATATAAAATCAATGCACAGAAATCAGTTGCATTTCTCTACACCACCACCAAGATAGAAGAAAGAGAAATTAAGGAGTCCATCCCATTTACAATTGCACCCAAAACTATAAGATACCTAGGAATAAATCTAACCAAAGAGACTAAAAATCTATACACAGAAAACTATAAAGTACTCATGAAAGAAATTGAGGAAGACACAAAGAAATGGAAAAATGTTCCATGCTCCTGGATTGGAAGAATAAATATTGTGAAAATGTCTATGCTACCTAAAGCAATCTACACATTTAATGCAATTCCTATCAAAATATCATCCATTTTTTTCAAAGAAATGGAACAAATAATCCTAAGAATTTCTTTACTCCTCATTTTTATATAAGTAATTTGGGTCTTTTAGTCTCTCCTGATCTAACATCTTAGGAGAAGCATTTCTCTGTTTGAAGTGCCTCTTTCCTGCTTTGAGTTTTGCTGCAGTAATCTTTGAAGACTTGGACATTGTTGCTATTTCAAAAAGTAACCGGTTCGAGCTCAGCATATACATAAAAAATCCTTAAGAGTGATAATATAGCAAACAGTAGAAAAGGTAAGTTCCAGCAAAGTGCTCCTGTTTTCATTACATTCTTACCTTCAAATACAACTCCCAGGCCCTCCTACCAAGAACAAAATTCCCTCAGAGTTTCTGATATTTGAACATTTATCGCAAAGAGAAAGGGTACTAGGACTCCCACTGTTTCCCTGGGAGAGCTCAGAGGCCAAAGCCACATACGCTTTTGTTTCTCTTTTTGCTTTAGGACTTGTGCCTTAAAACACCAGGGTCCTCTTTTACACTGGAAGAATCCATGCCCCTTTATAAAGCATTTCGGAGAAACTAGGTGCAGGTTCGTATTCTCATTCTACTGCGGTGATAGGAAACAGTCATAAACACAGAGATCAAACAGAAGTTCCTGCTACTTCTGCCAGTTGACTTCCCATACAACAGCACTGTCTTGTCGATGTGTGTTACTTTATCACACCTAATAAGAAAACAGGACTTAAATGACCACAGAGAATACAAACACAAGCAGTTACTGAATTTTCTTAAATTGTGTAGGTCAAGTAACAATACTCAGTAGAAAGGACATTCAGCTACAATGATAGCCACGAATTACTGATTATTGATACAGGGAGAGCCATTTTATTTCCTTTTCACAATAACTGTGGGCAATGAGGACAGTCACAATCCCTTTTACAAAGGAAATCAAGAAGCTAAAATCACTTGCCAGGAGCCCAGGACAAAGGCTGCAGCCACCCTTTGAACCCAGGCAAATATGAAGCCTGAGCTCCCCTCCTGGTCACTGGCAGTCTGCTGCCTCCCAGATACTTAATAATGGTCTTCTACCCTGTGACTCAG